TCAGGGAATGGCGGTTTCGCTTGAAAAATCCTTCCAAAATCGAGCCCCAGACCCCGCCTCGGAGCCTCCTGGGGGCCTCCTGGAACCTCCTGGGGCCTCCTGGGGCTTTCTGAACCTTCTGGCACCCCAGACCCCGCCTCGGAGCCTCCTGGGGGTCTCCTGAAACCTCCTGGGGCCTCCTGGGGCCTCCTGCGGCCTCCTGGAGCCTCTTGGGGCCTCCTGAAGCCTCCTGGGGTCTCCTGGGGCCTCCTGAGGCCGCCTGGGGCCTCCTGGGGCTTCAGAACTACATGCACACAGAGACACAAATCACGCCCAACACATCACACGCTAGACAAACATACACACACACACACACACACACACACACACACACAACACCTACAACACACAAAAAGCACGCACCACACAAAGCATACATCACACACACACACACACACACACACGCACAACACTCACAATCCTGGGGCCTCCTGGAGCCTCTTCTGGTATCCAAGTCGGGCCTCCTGAGGCTTCCTGGGGGGTCCTGGTACACACATCGCAAGGTGTGGCAACCCCACTTGCGCTCGAGTGCTACTTCGATGTTGCATTTCACTCCTGCTTCAAACGCCCCTTCAGTTTTTTTGTATGAGCCTGGGCACACACGTGCCACTTGTATATATCTATATATAGATGATACCGGAGGAAAGCCCCAATCACAATCTTTTTAGGGTTTTAGGCCGATGGGGCTATAAGGCTATAGGGCTGGAAGGCTATGGGGCTATAGGGCTACAGGGCTACAGGGCCATAGGGCTATAGGACTATTAGGCAATAGGGTTATGATGGGGCTGTAGGGCTATAGGGCTACAGGGCTATAGGTTTATAGGGCTATAAGGCTATAAGGCTATAGGGCTATTAGGGCTATAGGGCTACAACGCTATAAGGCGATAGGGCTATATAGAGCTACCGGGCACCTGGGCACCCGGGCACCTGGGCACCCAGGCACCCGGGCACACGGGCACCCGGGCACCCGGGCACCAGGGCACCCAAGCACCCGGGCACCCGGGCACCCAAGCACCCCTGGGCACCCGGGCGCCCGGGCGTGCGGCGAAAATCGCCGGCATACCTAACCTAACCATATGAATCCGCAGCGCCAAATAGTGCACCACAGGGTGGTCCGTGAATTGCGCTATAGATTGCGACACAGGTCGCGCCAACAAATGCGCCGTAAGTTGCACCATGTGTTGCGCCAAAGCCTGCGGGACAGTCGAAGCCATGGGTGAGTACGCTATGAGTGAGGCTGCGCCCAAAGCTGCATCCTCGGCCACTGAAGCTTGGAAAGCGCGCGCCCTTGGTTGCAGCATGGGATACGCTGGCGACTGCCGAAACTTACCATCCTGTGCCTTTGGCCGCAAATTGGGAGCACTCTCGGTCGCCGTTTCGCACAACGCACAAATGTAATGCACCAAAGAATGCGCCCTCCGCCTCCGCAAATTCAATTCGCGTGCTACTGGTTGCGCTGCACATTGGGCTGCGCACTCGGCCGCCAGAACTTAAAAAAACAATTAGCCTGACGAAAGACCCAACCATACGTAGTTGTGAATACCGCAATTGTTGATATATTCTTCGGTGGCGCCCACGGGCCACGAAACGAGTGAGGGGTGTGCCGAAATGGGGGGGTGGAACCGCATGCGGGCGCAGCCACTGGAGCGCTCGGTGGAGCTCCCTATGGGGCCACGAAACGTGTGAGGGGTGTGCCAGAATGGGGGGTGGAACCGCATGCGGGCGCAGCCACTGGGGCCTTCGGTGGAGCCCCCCTACGGGGCCACGAAACGTGTGAGGGGTGTGCCAGAATGGGGGGTGGAACCGCATGCGGGCGCAGCCACTGGGGCCTTCGGTGGAGCTCCCTATGGGGCCACGAAGCGTGTGCGGGGTGTGCCAGAATAAGGGGGTGGAACCGCATGCGGGCGCAGCCACAAGGGCCTTCGGTGGAGCTCCCTATGGGGCCACGAAACGTGTGAGGGGTATGCCAGAATGGGGGGTGGAACCGCATGCGGGCGCAGCCACTGGGGCCTTCGGTGGAGCTCCCTATGGGGCCACGAAACGTGTGAGGGGTGTGCCAGAATGGGGGGTGGAACCGCATGCGGGCGCAGCCACTGGGGCCTTCGGTGGAGCTCCCTATGGGGCCACGAAACGTGTGAGGGGTGTGCCAGAATGGGGGGTGGAACCGCATGCGGGCGCAGCCACTGGGGCCTTCGGTGGAGCTCCCTATGGGGCCACGAAACGTGTGAGGGGTGTGCCATGGGGGGTGGAACCGCATGCGGGCGCAGCCACTGGGGCCTTCGGTGGAGCTCCCTATGGGGCCACGAAACGTGTGAGGGGTGTGCCAGAATGGGGGGTGGAACCGCATGCGGGCGCAGCCACTGGGGCCTTCGGTGGAGCTCCCTATGGGGCCACGAAACGTGTGAGGGGTGTGCCGTGGAACCGCATGCGGGCGCAGCCACTGGGGCCTTCGGTGGAGCTCCCTATGGGGCCACGAAACGTGTGAGGGGTGTGCCAGAATGGGGGTGGAACCGCATGCGGGCGCAGCCACTGGGGCCTTCGGTGGAGCTCCCTATGGGGCCACGAAACGTGTGAGGGGTGTGCCAGAATGGGGGGTGGAACCGCATGCGGGCGCAGCCACTGGGGCCTTCGGTGGAGCTCCCTATGGGGCCACGAAACGTGTGAGGGGTGTGCCAGAATGGGGGGTGGAACCGCATGCGGGCGCAGCCACTGGGGCCTTCGGTGGAGCTCCCTATGGGGCCACGAAACGTGTGAGGGGTGTGCCAGAATGGGGGGTGGAACCGCATGCGGGCGCAGCCACTGGGGCCTTCGGTGGAGCTCCCTATGGGGCCACGAAACGTGTGAGGGGTGTGCCAGAATGGGGGGTGGAACCGCATGCGGGCGCAGCCACTGGGGCCTTCGGTGGAGCTCCCTATGGGGCCACGAAACGTGTGAGGGGTGTGCCAGAATGGGGGGTGGAACCGCATGCGGGCGCAGCCACTGGGGCCTTCGGTGGAGCTCCCTATGGGGCCACGAACGTGTGAGGGGTGTGCCAGAATGGGGGGTGGAACCGCATGCGGGCGCAGCCACTGGGGCCTTCGGTGGAGCTCCCTATGGGGCCACGAAGCGTGTGAGGGGTGTGCCAGAATGGGGGGTGGAACCGCATGCGGGCGCAGCCACTGGGGCCTTCGGTGGAAACGTGTGAGGGGTGTGCCAGAATGGGGGGTGGAACCGCATGCGGGCGCAGCCACTGGGGCCTTCGGTGGAGCTCCCTATGGGGCCACGAAACGTGTGAGGGGTGTGCCATGGGTTTGGGAGGGGGAGGAGGGGGGAGGAGGAAGGAAGGAGGAACGCGGGGACCGTCTCTTCAAAACGAGGACCCAACAACACAGGCTGGTTGGGAAGTATCGTCTTTGTGACATGGAGCGCGTGCGAGAATGACATCATCGCTAAGTTGGGCGATGAATGCAGTCCAATCAGTCAGTCAGTCTTTCATCTTAACACATGCACCTATGATGAATCTCCCGACACTACTCTGCATCCCCATGCCACGCGCGTCATGATGGCAACATGTATTAAGTCATATGCTCATTCATTGCCAAATTCCTTTGTAATCACACTTGTGAACCTACGCATGTCAATTCTCGAACATGTGCTCAGACCGTGTATGAGCTAGGTGTATTTTCAATTCGCGCATTTTCTGAATACATGGAGAGTAGAGGAGCGGTCTGCACGACTCAGATGATTCAACATGAAAAGCGCTGTACGGCCAAGTCGCCTCAAAAGCCGGCTCCACCGGGACATCCAAGGGGCCATATAATTCCACCACCGGGTCCATGAGGAGATGGAAGAAAAAAGGGAACGAGGAGGGCTGGCATCCCGAGAAAAACAGCGTCACAATCATGCTTGCGGAGTGCGCCGCATAGATGAAAAGGCCCTGGAGGTTTCAAAATGCGAATGCCGCCGCACACGCTGCTGGCGTCATCACGCATGCGCTTCACACTTCTGCTCCAATCAGGCACGCATGCTGACAGCCTGCGGATCTAAGCTCAGACAGACACTCTGAAGGGTGATGGCGGGAAAAATGCCCAGGCATGCCATTGCCGAAAGTGGTCGCCCGAGCTCGTCGCCACGCTGGCCGTCGTCGCGGGAGGGCGGGGCGGTCCTGGCAGCGGGGCTCCGGGGCATTGGCTTGAGGCGGGGCAGTCGTTACCCGAGCATGCCGGGAGAAAGCTTTTCGGGGTCGCGGACCCAGCGCACGCGCACGTCGGCCGAGCAGCTCAGGAGCACTGAGCGGCGAAGCAGCACACAGAGGGAAAGGCGGCAACCGAGGAGGGAGGGAGGGGCGGCCATCTCATTCGTGCCAGAAGGCACGCAGTCGTGCCCCCCTCTGCGCCTGACTCCCCCCTCTCCCTGCGCCCTCCCGTCGTCCTCGTCTGTCGTCCATCGTTCGTCCGTCGGTCGTGTCGTAATTCTGTGGTCTCTGCCACTGGGCTCCTGTTTAGTGGAGCAAAAAGAAAGCCAAAAACACGAGAGCGAGGAGAGCTCTTGACGCCGGTGGCCGGGTCCGGGGGTCGCTCGAGGGCACCGCTTCAAACTACCTCGAACCCGAGAGAGGTACCGTGCGTGTCCGGTGCCGAGCCCCGACGAGCGAGAGGTGCACCATCCCGCCCGAGACATGCATGCAATAATGCGTACTTGGCTGCATACCTGCGTGAAAGTTTCATCCGGTGAGCAGTGTGACACCATCCACGGCCATGTATGCTTCCACTTTGTTCAGTGGGCCATTCTACAGGCCCCACCTTGGCTCATAAGCTGATCCCCACCCTGCCTGGAGAGGCCTTGAGGAGCGTGAGGAGCGTGAAATCGACTGCGCGGCTTCAGCCCCTGCGGACCCCGAAACAAACATGCAGCACTCCCAGCCCTTTGGCCCAGTTCCTTGCCAAACAGTCCGGCTCGGATTAATGACACTAGATACCGGCAGGCTCCTGTAACTCTAACGAGTCACCGCCACCGCTCATCATGACACGGCGGTACCGCATGCTCCTGATTGGCCGGTACGCAGCGAAGGTGAGGGCATGAAGAATTGCCACAATGGCTATCAACGCTAGTGCCGCATAATCGGTACCACGCCGCGCCATGGCGGAGAGTGAATAGCATGAAATCCACATCGTCCCCAAAAATAGCAGGTGGACGAGCGCCATCAAGGTCACAGTGGACTTGAATCCCCACGACCGCTGGATGAAGAAATTGGCGATGACAATGGAGAGTGCCGCCACCAACGGGAATACTGCAGCATTCAGGGTGAATCTGTGCACATGCATTAAAAAGATGACGTCAGCGGCCTGGCCATCAAGAAATTGAACGGCCACAGAATCAACATTCTGCAGGAAGTACGGGAGACTCGCGCACACGGCCGTAGAATAAGGGATGCCGCTGCGCCCGAAGGATGCAGACAATGTGAGGGGCAATTCGCGACGCACTAGATTCTCAAACTTCGCGATGACTTCGGAGTCGCTGGCTGGCTCTTGCACGAAACCCCTGTGCCGCATCAGCAAGACGATGTTTTGCTCAACGAGCGCACGATCAGACTCGTCAAAGCACTCTGCATTGGCCACCCGGAAGCGATTCACGTGCTCTGAAATGCTCAGCCTGAAGCACGCTATGTAATAGTAAACGCAACTCGCGGCGACGGACACACCTGAAAAAATCAGACGAACCCCGCTGGTCCGGGGTCTCTTGGCTGTCCACCAGCGTTCATGTAGCACATTCCAGAGGCGCCAATTTCTTGTTCCCAACGATGGCTTCAAGAAGGCTCCAGCGGGACCGCCGGCAGCACCAGAGGGCCCTCATAAGCCCTCAAAACGGCCCCACAACAGCCTAAGATTGGCCGAATATTCTCCCAAAATAACCTAGGAGTGGCCCGTAGGCCTCCAAAATGGCCCCATTATCTGACAGACGGCCGCAATTCGGTCCTATCCGGCCTCTTCAAAGAATCGCGCCCAAGACACCTGGAGGACCCCCAAGAGACCGTGGCGCTGCTTCCCGCACGACCCCAGCGTGGTTCTACCGAGCCTGGTCGGGAGGCTCTGCAGGGGCATCCCGCGTGCAGGTCGATGCTGCGCTTGGACGGTGGCGGAGCTTGCCGCAGACAGCTGGACATCTGACTCTCTCCTCCCTCCTCTCAAGGCACATCTGCGCCTGGGCTCGTCGACGACGCTGCCCACGAGCCGGGGAGCCAGCTCCGAAAGGCCAACTCAGCCCTGGGAGGCCCCCACGAGTGCCCAAGAAACGCCCAGCGTGGCCAAGGGTAGTCCGACGATGACATGCGCGATGGCCCTTTTTTGCCCCGCGGCGTCTCGATGATAGCCCTGGCCAGGATCATTAAGAACATTCCCTGCCCAAAATGAAGCCAACATCAACGAATACATCATTCAAATGTTTGGGCACACCAGGGTCGAAACCACAGGTCGACTGAACAAGAACATGGCTCAATTGGGAGCCTTGCCGATTTCCGAGTTCGCAGACGGTACGAAGAAGGCATACCACGGTTGACAGTGCGAGGCTCTTATCCTGCATCACCCCCCATGTTCGAATTTCGTCGTATTCCTCCTCCTCCGTGCCATATCGCTCTTCCTCCTTAACTTCCCCTTCCATTGGGTGGGCGCACAACCCAACACATCTTTAATGATATCGTATTCGATGGTAGGCGGCATGGCGTAGGCCGGTAGGAGAACAACCACGAACAAATAACCTGTAAGTGAACCCAATGGGGCATTCTGTAGGGACTGGTTGATACCGCGACTATGCACCACATGCCAGATCATGCTGGTGACAGAGCAAATCCCAATACCATAAAAAAGGGTCTTCCAGTGGAGCTCGTGCCTCAGGCAGAAGGTGCTGCCAGGGTGGAGCGTGAGGAAAACTGCCACTTCGTAAACTGTCCATAGTTTGCGCAGGTAGCTCTCAGAATAGCACACCACCATCTGAGTTGAATAATACAGGAAAGCAGCCAGGTGGCGTATCCCCATCTCCTTGAGGCTCGTGTCCGTTTGATGTATGCAGGCCTTATCGATGAACAGCGACTTCCCTTTCAACCCGCATGCCTTCAATACCTGCTGCTTGAAGACAACTATGAATATGAAAGCGGGGACCCCACAGAGTTGGCACCAAAGGCTTCCTCGGAAAGGCCGCTCGAAATCTTGTAACATAATCGTCGGCAATTGATCGGTGGCCACTAGTACCGAAACGATAGCGGTAAGAAACGAGGTGAATAACATCGCCACCCTCAGATTGAGGGAAACAGCAAGTATGAGGAATTTAGACCACCGTGGCATCACCCAGTTGTGAGAGACGAAATAATCCACGACGCGCACGGGCCGCGATGAGTCGTAGTACTGCTCTGGTGAACTGGGGCTGTGTTCGAAGATCGCACCTAGATTGTTCAGCCCATCGGCTTCGGAAACACCCCGAAACAAGTGACTCGTTTGCTCTGTAAGTCCGATGGTGTTGGGGCAACCCGTGCTTACCCTGTGGCCACGATGGCCATTCGAACGATTCGAGCGTTGTGTGGCATCCGAGAGTTGTGCAAACATTGCGTGGCCATAGAAATATGGCTCTGGTTTGACAAAGCCGGCAACTGAAAGATGGTCATCCGCTCCCGTTGGCGCTTCCATGACCACGGGTCGAAATCGCACGGCCCTCCACCACAGCGCATTTCGAGCCACATTCGCTGTGAACGAGCCCAACCAACGGCGAGGAGAGGGCAAGGAAGGTCAGGGCGGATGGATGACGGAGGTCGGCGAGTGAGGTTTTCTGCGCACGCTGGAACGAGTTGTTGATCGTTTATCGTCGAATGGCGGCTGTCAACCACGAGGACAATCCCTGGCGACCCGAGACTCCGCTGGCTCGACCCACACTAGGCAAGAGTGACCTTGGGTGCGCGGTTCTAGGAGGGCGCGGCGAATGCCAAAACACGAGCGCACAGGCCGCTGCTCATCGCATTCGGCGATCGCTGGACCCCAGTGGACCCCAGTGGGCCCGCCGCAGGGGCAACTCTCACGTGTCGCCGAACACGCCCTTTTCGGAACTCCCTGCCCATTCTCCCGGGTCGGCCCTCCTGAGCTGTCTTTTGATGGCCTCGCTGCACAGCCCAGATCGGCCGCCGCGCAGCCACAGTCCTTCTTCCCAAGCGCCCGAGGTCCAGGCTGACGCTTCCCAGGGATGGCCCTGGACGCTCTGTGGCCAAGATGCTGCCCAGACGGCCCAAGAGAAGCACAACACCCCACCCAACCAAACCATCTGAGATCTCCAGGGGCGACCCGAGAGGCCCCCCCAGAGGCGGCCCATAGGATGCCCCCAGAGAGGCCCTGGACAGCCAGAGCCATCGAGGGACATGACGTTGATCATTGCCTTATGCTCTCCAACTCCCAGGACCCCAGATAGGCCTAACAATGGACCAATGCTACCCTCCTCCTCCTCCTCGTCACCGATACCGCCACCCTCTGGACCTCTCCAGGAATGCGCCGTCGCGACGTGGGAGCCGCAAGAGGTCCCCTCAAACATAGAAAAGCGGAGGCACGTGGGGCGGGGGGCAGGGGTATCTGTGAATGCTCCTGCTCTGACTTGACCCCCCCACCCTCACCCCCTAACTCACTCGGCGCTTGCGAACACGGGTGCGCCCTCCCGAAGAGCTCCCGCGAAGTGGACGTCTGGAAAGGCGGATGGATTGGCTTGCTATTGGCTTCAGGATCGAAGACGACGCAGCCAATACACTCCTAACCACCTCCTCCTCCACTCTCCATATTCTCCTCCTTCTCTCCCCCCTCCTCTCCTCCTCCTCCTCCTCCTCCTCCTCCTCCTCCTCATCCTGGAGCAGAATAAGGGCGGAGACGCGGACGCCCACCACGGTGATGCAGACGACGACGAGGATGCCGACGGCGACGGCGACAACGACGTCGGCGGTCCCTGAGGGCTCAAAAGGGCAACCAACATTGAAAGCCCTGGGCCCCTGACCCTCGATGAGAAGGAAGGGGAGGAGCGATACCGTACAGCTATTGAAAGGCGGACATGGGAATAAAGGTGATTCGAGGAGGAGGGGGTATGAGGAGCACTTGAAGGAGGAGGATGAGAAAAAGGAGAAGGAGGAAAAGGAGCAGTGGCGGGGAAAGGGGGCATTGAAGATTCGTCGGGGCGGTGGGCTCGAGACGGCCCCATGCCTCACGACGCGCCTCTCTCTTGGGGAGCGCGAAGACATATGATGACTATCTGTCCTCCCTGGAGGCGTGCGTCCGACCCAAAGATGTAGTACAACCATTTGGTCGCATATCGTTTCCCGGGTGGGATGGCCAGACAGCGCCCGCCACGGAGCTTTAACTATACGATTTCTCGGCGCGCGCGTCGCCCCTTGGGGGGCGACGCACACATTGTATTAGTATGTTGAGGTGATGCCGAGGGGAGGGATTTCCGCCCCTGCGGAGGGCCGCGCATCCAGCGACACCCCTGGGCAAGGGGGCCGCGCTTCGGCGGCCATCGCCAGGGTGCGGGGGCAACTCGCCCCGAAGGCCCAGCGCTCCCCGCCTGCGCCAGGGGGGCCCTGTGGCCCGACCCCCACTTCTGGGGTGAGGCCGATCTCGAGAAACACGGACACCTGTACCTCTCTGGACCTCCCCCCCGGGACGGGCTTTTCACCCCGAGCTGCCCTCATGCATTGCGCCGTCATCCGCCGCCCAGCACTGGTTTATGCACAGTGCCTGTGCACAGGCGCGCTGGAATTCTCGTGCAGTCAACCCGTATCGTAAGACGGCAATGATGCAAGGGCCTTAGAAGGCCATGTCGACACTCTGCGAGCGGGTCGCGGCCAGCGAAAGCGGCCAAGGATGGGCCACAGGGGATGGATGCAAGCGGAACCTTTGAAAGTTGCTGATCCTTACTATGCGGGCTGACTGCTGGCCTGTGCATAGGCCGTTTTTTTGTTTTTTGGCCCTGTAGAACTGAGGATGTCCAGGAATGTCCGAATCACGAAGTTCTCGGCGTCTTCTCTGGATGAACAAGCATACCACAACAAACATGATCAAACGGGGACTACAACACCGCGAGCATAACATCAATCATAACAACAACAACAACAACAACAACAACAACAACAACAACAACAACAACAACAACAACAACAGCAGCAACATATTACATCAAACGTCAAACACCAGATGACCAACATACCACATCAAATAACAAAGATACCACACATCATCAGACAAGAACATGAAGCATTAAGGAATAACCACACCACATCAAACATAACAACAACATACCACACATGACAACAACACCGCGAATCATCAAACAAACCACAACACACATACTCAACGGGCAAACGACGAAGCACGCATAGTGCCATCATACAAGGCATGCGCTTAAAACGCAAAGAGCCAAACACTGAAACCGACTGGCAGTTAGAACATAGATCTCACACGCCCACAAGGGGTCGGCGGATTCCACTATGTAGCGCAGCCCGATCCCAGCCACCGCAGGCATTCTGGCATCCTTGCGTTATCTGTACAGACAATCAGATGAGGTTAGCTAATATATTTTGCTTTTATAGCGCAGCCCGATCCGAGCCCCCCGTGGCACTCTGGCAGCCTTGTCTTATCTTTACAAACAGTCAGACATATTAAACGGCAACTTGGGCATCCAGGGAATGCATCCTTACCCATCCGTAGCCATTTGGGCTCAAGCCGGTTTGCGGCAATGTCCGTCTGGAACGACCCGCGCTCATTGCGCTATGCTCCGAGATGGAACCCAGTCACGCATCGTCTTATTTACCCTTGGTTCATGTCGGATGATGAGGGTGATATTGAATGGGTTCCCGCTGATGTGTGGGTATACCGCTACAACAACAAAGAGCTCTTCGGCCGCTCGCGAAACACCAGCAGTCAGACGCCCGCCCCAGAGCCAGATGACGACGACGGCGTCCACGGCACGACGGGCGGCGCGGAGGCGGCCGACATGGCGGGCAGCATAGCAGAGCAGGCGGCAAGCGAGGACGACGACGACGCCAACATGAACCGAGACAACGCCGCAGACCAGCCGGCCACCATCGTCGGCGACATGAGGACGGGCAGCGCCGACGTCGACGACGCGGGCCAGGACGACACGGGCGGCGCGGAGGCGGCCGACCACACGGCGGGCAGCGCCGCAGAGCAGGCGGCAAGCGACGACGACGACGACGCCAGCATCATCATGTCTCCAGACAGCGCCGCAGATCCAGCGGCCGTCGTCGCAGCCATCCTCGTCGGCGACACGGCGACGGGCAACGCCGACCACGTCGACGACGGCACGGGCGGCGCGGAGGCGGCCAGCGACGACGACAGAGTGGAGGTCGCCGACGTCGAGGACGAGGACAACCCCACCGGCAGCAGCAGCAGCTGCGACGAGGGCAATACTCTTCTGACTCTGCCCCAAGCGTCTGCGGCGGGAGTAGGCGGCAAGCCCGAGGATGTAGTATCATACTGTTACTTGTGAGCATGTTCACTGCACATTGTCATACAATATAGTTTGTTGCCCTGCCACTTCCAGGCTCCAAGAGCTTCCCCAATTCTGACAGACAATGGCATGCCCTGGGAAGTCACCGCAACAATCTAGATATGGTAAGCTCTTGGAGTCAGCGACGTGCAAGTGTTTGATCCCACGTAGTTGTGGCTGGCATTGGACACAGCGTCCTGTCAGTATTTTTGACGCTTCGCGTATCCCCACCAACCCATCCAGAAACGACGCCAAGGCAAGTTGAGGTGACCAGGGAAGTCACTTTAAGTGGTCTCAGTTGCCGCAGGGATATTCTTGAGGCCTCTTGGGGGTCACCTGGGAGCCTTGTGGAAGCCTCTTGCGGCCGCCTGGGCGCCTCTTGGGGAGTCTTGGGGCGCTCTTGGGGGCTTTCGAGGCGCTCATGGAACCATCTTGGAGGATATCGATCAAAGAAGGGGAGGGCCGGTATTCGCCCCACCTTTTCGGGAACCCCAAAAATCGCCTCCTG